ATACTTTCAAGAAAAAAAGCACCAACCTTTAATGATCAGCCAGGAGTGGATGTATATACATATTTTTTAAAGGCATCACTACACAATTTGAGAAAATTGTTATTATAAAAATATAGTATGTTCCCACACCATACCAAACACACATATATGGATATAAATAAACATATAATCCCACACATGTACATATTTGTGTATATACACACATACAGATAATACATACATAAAAATATATACCCAGGATAGCTTAGTATTAAAACTGAATAAATAAAAAATATTGTAGAAATAAATAAATTTTACCAAATGCTATTAGACAGGGCTTTCAAGTGACAATCACAAAAGTTTGAGTAAGGAAAGCTCAAAATTTTATAATGCCAAATATATAATAAAAGTACACAGTTATCTATGGGAAATTCAAATGTTCGACAGTCAACCTCAAAGATGAACAAAAATATTTGTAATTGGAAATGAAGGAGGATAATGTGTATATTGTTAGTGAGACTGAACAGGTAGGAAAACGTCAAATGTACTCAGTACCACTTCAGGACACAAAATTTAAAACTTGCCTTCCTATTGGGGTGTCACAAACATAAACTTTTCTACAAGAGAGATTTTGTGAGTAATAGAGGGAAATACTTATACAGTAGATGAAAGCCTATAATTGTGGAGCAAATTGGAACAATGCATGTTGTAATACAAGTAGCAGGTTCTTTGTGTCTATAAAGAATCAGAACAGCAATGAACAATGAAACATAAATGAAGTTTAACTTATGTTCTCTGGCTGTGGATAAAAGAACTAGAAACAAATGACTATCAAGAGGAATTAATAAAATATTTTTAGTAGAGCAATAACAAACATAATATAGCCACCACAACTTGTTTTTGTGGTTACTATTGCTGTTGTATACAAAACACCCAAGATAAAAATAATACAAAATTCAAAGCTGCTATCCACTGTGATCTAAGCTTGCAAAAATATTTGATATAAAGATTGTGTAAAAATAAAATATTATAAAAGTAAACAATATTAACTTTAGATAGTACATCTCACTCTAAGTACATTTCCTAGTGTCTGTTTATCCTGATACCCTTACTTTCACAAACCATATTACTTTGTGTTACATATAATTCCCTTTTACTATCCTTTCTTTAAAAAAAATTACCTTTGGAAATAGATGATGAGACACTGGGATTTTGTTGATTTTAGTGGAAATATTGAAGAGCAAAATATATGCATGTATTTTTATTCATCAGTGGATGTCATATAATCCCATATGGAACAAAGCATGTCTTAAATTACTATAAGTTAGAAAATTACTACTGAGGTGTTAAGAAGTAAACCAAATGGAAGCAAGCTTGTTAATAAAAGCAGCAGCTGCTATGCATTAGCTATCAATCAATCTGACAGAACCCTGAGTCATTTGGAAAGTGGGAACATCAGCTGAAGAATTCCTTCCATCAGATGTGTCTAAAATTTTCTATGTAGTGAATTTATGTCACTGAAAAATGTTTTGGGAGAACTCTACCCACTGTGGACAGTATCATCCTTAGGCACCTTTGCTTTGACCATTTAAGAAAGGCAGCCAAAACTGAACCAGGAGCAATACATCAAGCAGCACTCCTGCACGGTCTCTACTTCCGTTCCTGCCTCCTGACTCCTGCTCTGAGTTCCTGCCCTGACTTCTCTTGGTGATGGACTGTGAAGTGCTGCTCAAATGAAATTCTTTTCTCAACTTTATTTGATCTGCTAACTAATGTCTTTCATACTACTCATTCTATGTATTTATATTATAGCCTTGTTGGATAGATGTGGATTCATTTTCTTTTCATAATGCCTTCTGCAGTGGTTGAATTAATCTTCCTGATAAGAGATTGAAAGAGAAAGATCATATAGGCAGTTAAGAAACATCCATATCTAGCTATGTGAACTCACTCACTGAGTCTAAAAATCAAGATTTAAACACTGAAAACTTATTAGCTAGTGGCTTTTGATGATAATCTTATGCTACAACTATGTATTTCATTAGCTTGACTAAAAATATTATGTCATATAGAAGAAGAAAAAAACTGGATTAAGGCAGATGGTAGTTTCTGGCAGGACACACGATGACTTTCTTACTTAGCCATAGCTTTGTCCCTTTTCACAGGACCTACTAAGGAACCAGCTGCATTTCATACCAATGAGACTTTTATTGGAAACTTGTTACATGTAAGGTTCATGTCATATAGATTCAGACATGAGGTGCAGTGCACTTTGACAAATATTGAACCTTGAACAAGCCCAGTGCTCTAAACCATCTATCCTATTTGAGCAAAAACTTAGGATATGGAAATAGTGAGTATTTTAACCAGAAAGTTTGCAGTTCCACTTTAACTTAGATTTCCATGAGAATCCGGTCATTGGCCAGAACCCCCAAAGTGTCTTACTTAGGATAGTTTTGTGTGTGCCCTGTTTCAACAAGTTCATTTTACATATGAGTCAAAATTATTTTTACACTGAAAGAAGCCTTCTTAGAGCTGGGTTGGTGTTCTAAATTTAATGCAGGGAATTTTAGGATAAATTCCAGGTTGAAACAGATTGTTGCCTATGCTGCCTATTTGAGTGCAGACACTGGCTGATGTGAAGCAGAACATAAAAAAAAAAAAAAAAAAAAAAAAACATTTCTAGATTAAAAAAAAAAAAACCTAGAGGAGAGGAGTGATTTAGAGTGGATGGAAAACATATCTAGTGGAATGAGTGAAGGTTTACAGTGTAGGAGAAAACATTGCCACCCCGGAGGAATCCCAGATGACTGTAGGAATCACCACAGAAGCTGATCCTCAAATCTGAGCTGAGGATTCACAAGCATTTTGGGCTAAGAGTCAACCCCAAGTGGGTCACATCCCTGAGCCATTAAATTCCTGTGTGTTTGCAGCCTGTGATGTTTCACAGTAGGCTCAGTTCAGATGGGTAGCTTATTTATTTTTCAGTTTTGAATGTCAACAGCATGAAGAACATTATGATGGACAGCAGGCTTTGACCAAGGGTCTCTGAGAAATTAGATTCGAATATGTATCAGTAAAAGCTACCTGGGATTTTAAACTGAATCAGCCAAGCAACAGGATTCATGTTGAAGCACAGAATTCTCCTAAAGTGAATGCATCATTGTTTTTGTTGCTTTTTGCATATTGTAATGAGTAGTTACTTCTTAGAAATTATTTACTATTCCCAGAAAAAAAAGTGATATAATCATTGACTCATTGAAAGTTTTATTTGCTGACAGAAGAATTAATGTATGTAGTCAATGGACCCCTGAAACAAAATGAAATTACACAGAATTTCAGGTTCTTTATTCATTGTTTACCTCTGGAATGTGTGCTGTGTTGTGTTACTTGTCTAAATATCTATTTCCTTGTAAGTAAGAGGCAATATAGTATGTGGTCAATTAAAGCACCAACTATGGGAGAAACATGAATACTCCAGAACAACATGAGGCAGCATCCATTCCCAGGACAGTACCTTTACCTTCCAACATTCTTGCTGGACTTATGGGGTATTCTAGATGATACTGTTTCCTTCAGAAATGTTTTATAGTCCTCTATCTTAATTAATCATTTAAATTTATCTTACTATTTAAAGTGGATATTATCCCAAATTAAAAAAAAGTCCATATAAATTTAAACACACACACATTTATATACATTTTTGTGTGTGTGATCTCAAAGTTCAACACTTAGGGAAATTTTCACATATTTTTATGAGTATTGGGTCACTAAATAGGCTTTCTTTCTATTTATGCACTATAGCTGTTATGATTCTTGGCCTGTATCTGACCCATGACAATCTATTTGGGGTTACCTTGCATTCTCACAGGAGAGAAGGCCTGAAATAGGACCAAAAAAAAGTGTTTGAAAGTATCAGGGTCACTCATGAGATCATGGTGGTTAAAGATGATAAGTTCAAGGATGTAGCATGGCACTTAGTCACAGGAAATGACTGCAAGGGGGTGCATTGTCCAGGCAAGAAGGAAGCTGTAGATCAAGAAACATAAATAAAAGCAAAGGAGACATCAAAAGTTGCCTGCCAAGAAAATAGTTTCTAAATTTAGTTTTCACTAGAGTTGCAAAGTGTAAATAGATTCAATAATGAGTTTAAAAATAAGTAGAAAAATTCTGGAACTGTTTTGTTATGTTATTTGATAAAAAGCATTCTTAACTCCTGAGTTTCACTTCTTTTTGATAATTTTAATATGAAACAGCTTAGTTTTTATTCACTCATTTATAGTTTTCACTCATAGGATTCATTTATAGGTTTCAATTCATTGTTTTGCAGGAAAGACAGTTAGACTTTTATATTGTTAATCTTTCATTTTTTTCCTTTCCTCCAATTGCTCATATATATATACACACATATATGAATATATATTTTTTTTCAGTTGTAAACACTTGATTTTATCCTCAAGATATTTGGGATTATAATTTTGTGAAATGGGATTTTTCAATGCACAATAATTAATATCAATCACATATATATTCATGAATTTAACAAAATTCATACAAAACTGGCAGCTATCTTATTGAATATTTCATTGTCAAATGTCATATACTATTTGTATTGCACTTTGTAGAGCAATAATTAGTCTGTAATTGACAACATACTATATTACTTTGTTTTTCCATGATTAGGTTGACCAGTAAATCTGTACATTAAATTATGAGCACAAATATTCAACCTCAGTGTCAGAAGGTTGCAAGAGAGATGCACCAGTGTAATATAAGAAGAACTGCTGAGCTGAACTGACTACCACTTTATTTTTAAAATGGTCAGAAATCTTAGACTACATACCTCAAGAGGAAATAAAAATATAAGCCAATGATAAATGCATTTATCTCTTTCAAAGAAAAAGTAACCAGAGAATTTTCTACTTCACATATATGGCTTTTAACTTCTTAAGTTCAAGAGATTTGCAAATGTGTAATGGATTAATTCATTCCATTTAATGAATGTAATCTTCTCTTTTTAGGTTGATCTTCTTGTCCCTACCAAAGTGACAGGCATCATCACACAAGGGGCTAAGGATTTTGGTCATGTGCAGTTTGTTGGTTCTTACAAGCTAGCCTACAGCAATGATGGGGAACACTGGACTGTGTACCAGGATGAAAAACAGAGAAAAGATAAGGTAAGTTATCTGCATGCTCTGTAGAGTGAAGGTTCAGTCTCTAGTGATGTCTTAAAGGAAAACATTCCATGCAATATATTCTGATCATGGTATCCATTTCGGCCAACTCCTCCCAGATGCTGTCCATCTTCTTACTTCCCTAACTCCATGCCTCTTTATCTCCTCTTTAGGAAACAAAGTAGGCAAACAGGCAAAGGATGCATAATAAAAAGAAAGAAGACAGAAGGCAAAAGAGCACGCACGCACACACACACACACACACACACACACACACACACACACACAAACACATGCACACATCCATTAAAACACAAAACTGGAAATCATAATACATGAGCAACAGGTCAGTATGAAAAAGAATGCCAAGTCAAAATTAATACATATAAAGAAGAGAGATTGTAGTAGAGTATGTGATAGTGAAACATATTTACTAATAAATTGTAAGGAGTAAGGTTTTTCCACCTGCTGCTGGTCTTGTCACGCTGCCGCTCCAGCACCAATTAATACACAGAGACTCTGTATTTGATATAATGCTGTTGGCCAATTACTTGTTTCTTATCGGCTAGCTCTGTCTTAAGTATTAACCCATTTCTGTTGATCTATGTATTTTCACATGGTCTCTTTACAGGGGAGTGGGGCAGGCGTCTGGTCTACCTGGTCTCTCCATGCTGACTCCTCCTAACTACTTCCTCTTTCCTCTTTGTCTTCTAGTCCCTCCTATCTTTCTTTCCTATTGGCCAGCAGTTCTTTATTTATTAACCAGTATTAGAAACATATATACACAATGGCATCTCCCATCAATAAATATCTTTATTAATAAAAATCTACACATTATAAACTAAGACAGGTACCTAAAATTTACTTTATATATTACAAACTTAGAAGATGCTTAGCATTTTATTGTAATTATAATGTATACCGCTAAGGCAAGTATTACTATTATTTTATAAATAAATTAGTGGTATTAAAAAAACATTCACTCGAGAAAAATATTTCAGTGGTAATCATAATATATTCTTATATCCTTTGTTACATGACAAATAGAAACTTTAGAGTTAGGCAAATTTTGAGGACTATTTACTTCAACCAAATAAATTAAGTTTTTCTTGCTATGTTTGCTTTGATATATTATAATTTGGAAACTTTCTTTGAAATAACCTCTCAGTTTTCATGGCTATATACACCATATAGTTCTTTAAATGTGAAATTCCTATTTATTAACTTCTTGCCTTCTTGAACTCTTCATTTATCAATTTCTGTGGAACTCTGGAAAATAAAAGGTTTAGAGATTGGCACCAGATTTTGGCCACACATTAAAATACAGCCTTAAGTAGCCCAAAGGCATTGAATTGAGTGATTACTTAGCGACCTTTATACAGAGCTTGAGAGTTTAAAAGATATCAATAGAAATACTGAGTGCAAGGCTTGGGGTAAAGTTTAAGAAACACACATTTCAAATTTTCTGAATTATTAACTTGTTATGTTAGATAATGCCTGTGTATCCTTGCTATTATACCAATCTTATACCAATATGTACCAACAAGAAGCTGGCAAATATCTTTCTTACTCAAGTGGTCAAAGCACAGAATTTATAAATCTGCCCAGAAACCCATAGGCTTGTATAGCTATTTCAGTGAGACACTAATTGGGATTCATTTCAACCAAGCTCATTTGGTTGACAGTTTTGGGTTCTGATTTAAACAGCCCACATCTGTTGGTGTTTTCATATCTGTGAATATCCCACTAAATGTTTCAGAATACATACATGTCTTACATTTTAAAATCTCAGAAACTGGTATGCTCTTATGACATCACATTAAGTCTTTAGCATGCTCTACAGAGCAAAGAATCAGGTTTTATTTCTTCTAATGAAAGAAAGTAAAAAAAAAAAAAAACAGAATCCATGCAATATATTCTGATAATAATTGCCTTTCCCCCAAACACTTCTCAGATCCTCCCCACTCATCCAACTCATGTTATAGTTGAGAAAATTTACTATTCATTTAACAATGTAAACTAGTAGTATATTTTATAATCAGTGACATCTCAGGTCAAATACATATTGAACATTTCATTTAAAATATCTTCAGGTTGATTTTGTGACCTATAAGCAAAATTTTGCAACAAGTGGTCCTATATAATGATTTCACCTCCTCTTAGGGTTTTTAGACTGTTGCGTAGACTGCATGAAATGGAAGTTTTTTAAACTTAATACTTTGAACTTCATGCAGTCTTGGAATTAGTTTTAAGACAGAGAAGTCTTTTAAACTATTTCCAAAATGCACTGAAAAATCTATAATAAATAAGTCTTTACAGTCAGTGGGGCATGGCAGTACATGCATGCAATCTCGGCACTCAGGAAGCTGAAGCAAGAGAGATGGCATAAGTTCAAGGCCAGTCTGTGTTGCTGTATGATGCTGTTTCTAAAACCCCAAATCTAAAACAAAAGAATAAGCAAACACTCGTTTGTTGAAATACTTATCTCTATTTACATTTAAAATGTAAATTAGTGCTTATATTTGAAAGTATTAAATTATTTTACTGATAGACTAGGCATTTGCTAATGAACACACTTGATCTTATTATCTCAGTCTGAAACATATGCAAATACATTCTGTGTAGTTGCTAGATAATGTTATTCAACTTTTCAGTATCCTCCTGGTGTTACATCTGCTGTACTATCTGTTACTGTCAGTACTATGACTATCTCTCATTATTATTACGGATTTGCCGATTTCTCTTTGTCATGACATCTTAGTTGTCTTCATATATTTGCACAAACAAGGTCTTATTTACAGTTGGAAATTAAGTGACTCTTACATCTTACATTATTTTATCTCTAAAATCTACTTCACCAGGCATTGATAGAGATACTCAAACATTTGAAAATATTATCTCCATGTAATATATGCACATTTTACTTATATACAATGCATTTTAGATGAAACTTTATTGTGTAAAGTTAGATTTTTAAGTACAACCTAACTCGACTCTGGAAAAAAAAGTTTTAAAGCCACTTTCATTCAATATTAGTATTGATATAAATGGCTTTTAAATTAATCATTTAAGTAATTGTTTCCTATTTATTTTGTCATCATTTTTTTGTCTTCATTTGGATGAATTCAAATTTGCAGTGATTCTATTTGATATAATTGATATAATTTGTAGACTACAATATTTTAGCTAATGTGCTGGGATTTATGGTATACATTTTAATTATTAAAACCAAATTTCAAATAAATGTAAAGCCCCAGACTCTTAATACTATAAGCAAAATAAAACAGATTTTAGATATGAAATCATACACTAGAATACCTTTATTGCTATTGTTATTATTAGTATTAATTTTAGTTTCTTTGAGTGTGAGTGCTTTGAAGAGACACCATGACCTTAAAGAAAAACATTTAATTGGGGCTGACTTACAGTTTAGCAATTTAGTTCATCATCATCATGGCAGAAAGCTTGGCAGCACACAAGCAGACATAATGCTTGAGAAGTAGCTTAGGGTTCTACATCCAGATCCTCAGGCAGCAGGAAGAGAGAGTGACACTGGGCCTGGCTTGATCATCTGAAACCTCAAAGCCCACCCCCAATGACACATCCTCCAACAAGACCACACCTACTCCAACAAGGCCACACCTCCCAATAGTGCCACTCCCTATGAGCTTATGAAGGACATTTCCATATAGATCACCACAATTAGTATTAGTGTAAGTATTTATTAGTATTATTTTGGACAGAGTCTCACAGCATAGTCCTGGATGAGCTTAAGCTCAATACCCCTACCCCAACTGCTCTGAAGAACAGGGATTATAGCAGTATGTATCCATTGTCAGAGAAGAATGATTATTTTATGACCAGTATTTATGAATAAGACTTATAGCAGAATAACGTGAACTCACTAGGCAATTTAGAAAATTATGAACTGGATTGACACAGGATTTTCACTGAAACTATGTACATGGAGAAACATATCACTATGCAATCTATACAATGTAAAAGTATTTTAAAAGTATTTTTGAAACATTTAACCATATTAAGATCTCTCTCTCACTCACTCACTCTCTCTCTCTCTCCAGCTGTAATCTCCTCAAGCTTTATCCAGTTTCTTAGCTCCCTGTTGAAAAAACTGGCTCACATGGTTTTGCGATAATTTACCATAGCTTTAAGAGCCCCAGGTGTTGTTGCTGAATTCAAGAGGAGATAAGAGTTGCTTACTAAGAGGGGAGTGGTTTGAGTGATTCTCTATTTGGATTGATAGACTAGGTCACCTAACCATTTTTCTACTATTCATGACCCTTCTCATAATACATCTGATCTTAGTCTATGCGTGTTTAATTATACATAAACAAGTGATAAATCAGGAAGTCTTCCTAAACCAGCTCCTAGGCTTGCCTGCCTCAATAAGATTATGTCAGAAAAACAAACATCAAATAGTAGCAATTCTGTTTTATCCCAAGTGGTGTAAGTGAAATTCTAAAACTGTAGAAATGCTTTTTCTGTTTTTCTGTGGTACTATGAAACTGACCCTTAAAAAGCTTATGAAAAGGTATACATGTACACATAGCAGTGTCTGAATATACATACAAATGTACTCACCTGCCTGTGCATACACCAGTACCACAGTTAGACAGAGAGCAAAAAGATGCTCTGTTTTCGTCGTGAAAATGTCAGTTTCTAGCCACCCTCTCATAGCATCCAGAATTCTGTTTGCTAACAGTATTCAGTATTTAGTCTTGTCTAACAGCCTGTGGTTACATTTTAGTACAGTCAACACATTCTCAGACCTTCTTTCCAGTGCACAATATTTCCTAACACTGAATGGCTTTTAGCTTTCTCCACTACATGGATTCAGCTGTTTTTTTACTTGAAAGTCAAAAGTTTCCTTGCTCTTATGAAGGTAATATTTGTTTCAAACTGCTGGAGTGCTGTTTTACTATGTTCAGCAGGAAGACTACAAAACTTGATGGGAACTTTCAGTATTTAATTTTGAGTAAAAC